CCTTCACCTCCGACTGTGATGCGATGACAGTCGTGGGAAGTGCTGCGGACCACCCACAAGGGTCGAGAAAACTTGCGCACTGCTTCATTTGTCCTGACTTCCATTTTCGGGCCTGAACGGACCGACCTTAAGGTTGTGTCATCATCTGTGAGGCTCACGACCTAGCAAGTGCCCTTTTGACCTCCTCAAAAGAAAAACACACACAAAAAAAACAGCCTCAAGACAGCAATTCGAAATTTGCATAAGTACTGACTAAATTGTCTTGGAAAGGCAAAATTTGTCCACTAAAATAACGAAGTAATTTAAAATAAGGAGAGGAATTGTTTAGGTGGACAACTTCAGTGTTTTCCTCAAAAATTTATAATTTATCTTTTAAACGTTAGTATTATAACAAAAAGTATTGTTTGGTGAGACTGATGGTCCATAGATTTGAGTGGAAAATGCAAAAAATGGGAGGAGAAAGGTGTTTGATGTTAGATCGGATCGGATTGCGTGTCTTCACAGTGTGCATTCATTTATGACTTCGGTCATCGCAGGTTGGTCAGGCCAGGCCAGACCGGATCAGGCCAAATCTGATCACCCCACGCGGCAAAGTCCCAACCAAGTGTCCGAATTAATTGCCAATGAATGGATCTTGGCTGCTTCCCTTTCCACGACTGATTAGGCTAATTCCACAGCAAGGACAATGTGACTCGAGGGCACTGTCTAAAGGGAAGGAAAAAAAGGCTCTCCATTCTATCTATTCCGTGCATCAGGAGGCAACGCGGTTGTGGACAATGAGGCACCTCTCGCTCTTTCACTGACGTGGATACAGTTGATATTGCTAGAGGCAATTTTTTCCTAAAGGCGCTTCAAAATCACATTCTCCATTAAAAATCCTTTCACTTAAGTCGACTTAAATCATTTAAGTAGGCGCTACCATCGAAGATAACAGAATTTCTTTGTAGACAAGGCGGACGGTAAAAGTATTTCAAATTGCTTAAACCACTTTATTCTTTCAAGTAATTTTAAGTAATTTTAATTTTACTGACTTTGGTACATAAAATGAGTAATTCGTATTTATAAAAAGCTAATTGTAATGCAGATCTGAGGCGGTTCCAAAAAAAAAGTTGACCTGCTTACAGAGTGTTTGTTTTTTGATCTCCCACTAGATCTGCTTGAAGTGCCTAAAAGGCAGCTTAATAAAGTTGCAAGAGATCTTCTCGCTTTATGGGTCGACTTAAATCATTTCAGTAGGCGCTACCATCGACAGAGTAGGTATTTTTTTTGGTAGGCAGGTTAAACCAGGAAATTTGATCTACCATCACTTAACTTACACTATTTTTCCACCAACTTGCTTAATCACTGGAAAATGTCTTATCTTTGTCGAAACTACGTACAAAGCTAAATGTTAACGACCTCATCTCAAATGGGCGAACAAAAAATTGGCTCCATTGAGGTTCGACGTGGTGTTGCAACACCTCACAATCACCCCTGATAGTCGTGGAATTAGCCAAAAGTCACGCCGTACTTTGCATCCCTCACATCTGGGGCGACAAAATCTGGCGGCTTCGATGGACAGCAATGCGGAAGCACAGATCCGCGCAAAGTCCACATTTTACGCTCATTTTTCTCTTGCAGCAGCTTAAGTCCACTTTCAGGGGCTGTCGATTGATGATTTTTACCCAGGAAAATGGAAAACTACCTTTTTTTACTCCTCAAACAATTGTTAAAAAGAAATATCACACTCCTTTTTTTTGTTAATCAAATGGTGCTCGTTTTTGTGCAAAAAAATAGCCCCACTTTAGTTGGTGGTGGTCAATGGACCGAGTTTTTGCGTCTGCCCGCCATGACTTTGCTTTACTTTTTTCTCCTCCCATCGACGTGACCTTTGTGGGGTGCTTCGTTAGGCACCAACTCCTCTGCTTGCCAAATGTAAACCATTTTTACTTTGGCGGCACTTCAAAAACCCAGCCTAACAGAGGTTGATGATGCCTCGTGAATGTGTGTGTGTGAGAGGCTTTTCGTCTACAACGCAAAATCCTTTTAACGATAACCACGCGCTGGCATCACTTTCAGGGGATTGGTGAAGGGGGTGAAGGTTTGGGAGAGGGCAGCGGAGGAGACAGAAATTTCCACCTCGACCACCGATCGGCGATCGCGATGTCAAATCTGTGCCAAAGTGCACCGAACTTTCCTGAAGTCTTCGATAAAACCAAATCAGCCCTTCAGGAGGGGGGGTGGAGGGAAGGGGAGGGGCGTCCAAAGGGGCCATCTTGAATGGACAGTGCAATACAAATGACAATCACCTATATATTTTTTTTGTGAATGTAAAGGTGAAGAGGAAATCGGTGGAGGCTTAAAAGCACACTTATTATAACGCCTGCGTACATGCGCGCTACTGGAGGGACAGACAGGCGTAGGGGCAAGCAGGCAAGCGGATGGATGGACGTACGGACGGACGAACGAACGGAGGGACGGACGGACGGGCAAGCGAGGAGGCAGGCAAAGAGAGGTGGACAGACAAGCGAGCATTAAGCGGCTTTACGGGTTCCATTTTCACAATTTCGGCGCTGGAACGCACACATACACACACACACACCCACCCACCCATACAAAGAGTTGCATAATCTCATGTCAGAGATTGCTTCAATGCTGTACGACAGTCAAGGACCTCAACACCTCAAATTACCCCTACAAACCACAAAAATTCCATCACCACCACATAGACATAGACCGATTTCCCCCACCACTGGATCCACCACCACCACCACCACCACCACCGCTACCACCACTGCCGCCGCCTCCTCCTCCGCGTCCAAATCGGCGCGTCTCGTCTCGGCCATTCAAATGGGACACACACGTTGTCTGCGACGCTACATTTTCGATCTTCTCAACGAAACCGCATGTCAGAAGCCACCCTCACCATCCACTAATTGTGGAAGCAGCATTTTGGATCGAAGAGTCATGCCACCCAGACCGGACTACGAGTGGATCACAGCAAGAAGGCAGCTCTACTACAATGTGCAAGGCAGCACTTGCACACTGGAGTTCGAACAGACCTCCAGTCCACTGATTTGGGCTGTGGATTGTCGAGAGTGGTCGTGTCTACGATTAATGTGCACCATTCAAGCCATAGAACAGGAGGAGGGGGAGAGAGAGCCAAAACAGGAGGCTTTTCAAGGCGCTGTTTACAATCCCAGTCAACCACAACCCGTACGAAGGAGGATAATCAACACAGGCACTGGAAAGTTCACTCACTCACCGTACACCTCGCAGACGTGTGTATGTTGTACACCAGAACGTAGACGCAGACGATCTGGTGAGTTGAGTCTACTGCAACACGAAGACATTCCCGCCTCATTGAGACAGCGACTTCGTCCATTTGCTAATGTCATGCTAAGTGTGTCCTTCTCAAATCTCTACAACACTCGCAGTAGTTGTAACATCAACAACGGTACTGATACCTCGGGCTCTAGAACAGGCAGTTTTTTAGACATACGATCGTGGAAATCCGCTCAATCCAGTCCACGACGCGACATCTCTCCCCTCACTCGTTCACCACATTCCACACACACAAGAGGCGCCAATTCTGTGGTGCTTCTCGGGTGTCTCAGCTCCAATGAGCACTCATCACGGCATCGAAAACGTCCCACGCCATATCGAGCCTTCTGGGTTCGTGGTTCCTACACCTATCAATCGGTGCTGGATTACTTCTTTGCCACAGGATATGAAAGTGTCGGCACGCATTGTCCACCTCAACAAGCATCACAAGGGGACTGTGAACATTGTAGACAGGATGCTGACTACTCCGATTATCCAAATTATCCAAGCGGTCCATTGGATCCACGAAATGACACCTTCTTTGAGCACTTTAGTCAACTGGAGCGTATGCTTCAGTCTTCAGGTGTATCAGCAAATCGTCTTGATTCCGTCATGGCATTCAATGCATTGGCAATAAGTGCTGGACGTCGTCTAGCAGGATGGTGTTGTCATGGAGCGGAAGGGGATCCAACCATAGGTGCAGATCTTGAAGAACCTCTGGTGGAGTGGCGAATTCTTGCCACTCTGATAGATCATGGATTGGATGAATTTGAGTGGTTGGAGTTTTTGTCACCTCAACAAAATTTCATCGGACACGCATTGTGTGTTCTGGCCTGGCCAATGCATGGATGGAGTCGTACGGAAGCGGCTATTTTGTCAAGTTATATGGCCAGTAAGAAGCCCGGTTCCTTCACTGGATTTAGCAATGCAATTGGAGGTGGAAGTAGACGACTACGAAGACGCTCATCGTCTCCCCTTGGAAGGAATGGATTTAGTCATCCCCTTCCACCAGCTCCACTGGGAGCAGCACTTCGACGACAGGCGTGCCTTCTTCTCATCAACCTCTGGTCGTTGGGTGCCTTCACATCGCATCACATTGTTCACCGACGGAGTGGTGGCACTATTGGAAATGCCGTCACAAGCAGTCGAATTTGGGATCCACGACCAGGGAGTCAGCGGAGTCACAGCTACACCGCCACCATGGAGGGAGGCGATTTGAGACGGATTATGCTTAAAACCATCTCCACCAAATCGGAACAAATGGGAATGGTGAGTTATGTCATCTTCTTTGTCAAGCCTTACATCTTGACGCTCCTCTGTGCAGTTGGAAAGTCGCCGAGCCTTTTTTTTGTTTCATGCTGGTCATGTAGGAACCACATAAGAGAAGAACGTACTAGTGATGGGCTTAATCAAGTAATGAAAGAAAATGCCAACGATGTATCGCAATGATCACCTCGTAGTGCCATGAAAGAGGCAGTTTTACTTACTTTGAAATCTATTACCTTTAATTCTTCATAATAATCTTCAAAAAGTTGCAAGGAACTTTAACATTACATTCGCAATCACCAAAAAGCGAGGGGGGGGAGGAGGAAAAGGGGAAGAAGGGGGCAAAGAGCTGGACAGCGGCGAGTGATCTCGATCCAAACACTTCCGCTCTTCACTTGAAAGTACTTTCATCCTTGCACAATTAAAGACTTCATCAACCCCATCCATTTACGGCACCATCAAAATCTTAAGGAGGGAGAGGTGGAGGAGGAGGGAAGAGGAAGAGGAAGGGGAGGTGGGGAGGGGAAACGGCCATAGAGAAGCCCGATAAAGGTACAGTTAGCTGCCAATGCCTCCAACCAATCAGCTGGTGACACATGACATCACTTGCCACACCATCAGTAGTGAGAGCTGATGACAGCAGTGTTGATGGGTGGTGGTAAGTTGGCACGAGTCAACTTCTCCAACAACATAAGTGGCTCAGTTGGTGGGAGATAGGCATCACAAGATCTTCAAACATAATGCGGAATAGGAAATCGCCTACCAGGTGACGAGGGGGAAAACGTCTAGTTGGGAGTACAATTGATCGGAAGTGTCGTTATGAAGGAGGAATTTGAGGACATGTTGGGGGGGTGAGAATGGAAGGAGGTGGACAGGAGTAATTATGAAAGTTCATTTACTGTTGCTTTTCTCGTCTAGATGAAAGTAGGTGTTCAACTTATACTTGCTGTATAGATTAAAGTCAATTTGAGAAATCCACCGCTACAATGAAGTCACTTTTATGCATTTCCGCAGCTGGAGGTGGGAAATATACTGAGGATTTCACATCCATTCCATGAGCATAGGCTCCAACTCAGTGATGATGGTGAAGAAAAACCCGAACCGCGTCCCAGCTAAAATATCCATCAAAACCAGAACCTTAGATAATCGCCTGAAGTTTGTTTTCCTTTCCCTTAAAGGAGATACTATTTTCCTTTCTTGCGTAAATCAATGCCCCTTAACTTGGTATTTTTCCATTAACTCTTACTCCAGCACCCTCTCACGCAATGCGTTTCGATATTAATGGAGCGAGCCGTGCATAAACCAAACTCTTGTCAATCATTGAACAAGTTTTGGGTAACAGGTGACATTGTTAGAAATAATGTTACCACAAAATGTTAAACACAACATATTTTACACGTTTATATTGTCTTTGAGTAGTGTGAATTGATGGATTGACTAGTGTCAACCGACTGTGAGAATTTTTAACGAATCCGTTTTAATAGCAAAACTTGGCATTAATTTAAAACGAGTGCAAAAACCTATGATAAACCCTATTTTCGTAGCTGAATTTAAGTCTATTTACACATTTGAATCTTGAATATGTATTTAACGGATTGTGCAGAAAACCCAAAATGTCTAACCTAATTCCCATATAATTGGGTAATACGTCAACTTCGGTCTTTCGCACTTTGTTTTGATCTTCTGAATAGCCATTGAATACCACTAATAAATTAGGTAACCTTAGAATCTTTTCTTTAAATTACTAAATAACAGCGGCTTCTTTAAGGGCGATGAGCGCAAGGTGATTGGAACAAGATGTATGAGTGAGGATTTAATAGCGCTTGATATTTTTTAAAAGGCCTAAAATTTACTCCGTTATGTCCGTTATTTGACAACAAAATCGGCGGAATCTATTGGACTGCCAAATAGAGTCAGAAACGATGCAATCTTTCCAATTATCCGATGAAATGCACTGCTCGGACCCGTTGTCGTCACGCTTGCACGACTGGGAAAATGATCGCGAAGCACGATAATTTTGGGAGCTAAAAAGTGTGTTGTTGTTGTTTAAAAAATTCGGTTTGTTTGCCTTTCCTACTAAACTCTGAGTTGGCTTCGTTTGAAGGCAAAATTACTAACTTGGTTAATGTTGCACTGTTGTTCAAGGCGATGAAGCAGCAGAGCACACAGCACCACCTCTCCCTTCGCTGCCACGATTAATTGCATGTCTGGAGTGCCACGTCGATGCATTCCTTTCCTTCATTTTATTAGGAATGAAAATGTCAAAAGTATTAATTTGGGTTACCTAACAATTGGTCGACATTTAGATTAACTTTAACACAGACATTGTGGTGGCATCTGCCAAATTATTTGTCACTCACTCTGCACCACCATATGGTGATGCACTTCAAAAGCAGCAGACTTGTTTTCTGTTGCTTCCCTGCACTCTGTGAAAACGGTCCTTTTTCTAATTTCCACTAACTAATTGACAAAATGTTGATGTAACCAACCTTCTTACACCAACTACTTTTCCTTATTCTGTGGCGGATGATTAAATTACACTAGAGACAATTGTGCCTCTCACATTCTTCCCAACCTAATAATTGGGAAAACACCTCAAATGAGCTGAAAAGTTGCAAAGACAGAAGTAAAGAGGCAGCGAATTAGAAAAGGGAAAGGCGTCCTCTTTTCCTTCCTCCAAAAGGCAGCTAAGAACCGCACGCCGCAAATCAGATTCATAAATAATGTTCGGGCTTTAGTCATAGCGGAGGGGGAGAGGAGAGTGGGAGGGAGAGAAAAGAACATGGGAGACAAATGCCCGCTTTCCTGCCGTCTCCGCCTCCTCATTGCTGCTACCTCTATAATCATACTTCTGCCTCTCCAGACGATAAACATCGCCTGCCTCACAGAACCGAGACAACTCACAGCAAATTAGAAACGGCAGATGGATACCAAGGTCGATTGGATTGAACTACTTTTTGTGCCTCCTCAGAGGAGGGAGAGAAGTGAAAAATTGCAGGAAAATAGAATTTGTGGCTTATAGGCTTCGCTATTTCATGCATTCAGGCAGTGCAGTGGTGACAATGGTTGACAGCCGATGCAGAACACCGAATCTACCCTCTTCGATCTCCTCCTTGTGCTGCATGGAGGACATTTGACTCACCACTTTTTACCTCCTTCCAGGATTTAAAAGTGAAAAAGCTAAGAGAAAATGTGAAATCACTGTCTTGAAAAACATTACTTATGCCATATTTTCGTAGC